AGTTTACCATGATGTCCAGCAGATGGTGCAAGAACTAATTCTACATGTTTTCTTTATTGCTTGTTTTTGTTTAAAACATTCTGTGTCCATAAGTGTTTTTGAATAATCATTAACGATGCTTTTGCTTCACTTTTTATTGTGAAAGTGTACAGCACCTTGGGCTGCTACAAAGGTAGTGGAAAGTGCTATAGAAATAAATGATGATGAGAACCCTTTGTTGGACAGAGCGAGAGGATCTGTTTTCATTCCCTGAATGTAAATATAACCTTAAGATAGTCTTTTTTATGATGATTTGTTTTATTATCTGTTGGTCTGCTGGACTCTGTTCTGTAGTGTATCTGTGCTGGGGTTAAAGGTCAACTCTTGTGTAGTTTAGCTTGGAATGCAGAGTGAGGAGTGTATTAGTCAACGCTTCATTCTGCTTAGACAACCAGCACACTTAGATTATGTAGAAGGTCAGGTAAAAGGTTGGTGCCTAGCCAGAGCTCAGGGTTCTTTGGTGGACTCTGAAGAGGTTTCTTGCTGCCTGAACGTCACACACAGTCACATGGTTTCACGTTGTTCCCTTCCCTCCTGCTTCTCTTCACCGTGGCTTAGCTGGGACCAAAGCAGACTCAGTCTGAGGGGAGATGTGATGATAACGTAGGATAGACCAGAGAAGAGACTGCAACACTAACCTGTGCTGATTCCTATAATGTATTGGTGCTTTATTATGTAGCCGGCAGCGACGCTACAAAAGCATTTAACCAATAAAGATGTACAAGCAGTCCTGACCTACTGGTTCTTATTCTGTGTGTGTGTGTGTGTGTGTGTGTGTGTGTGTGTGTGTGTGTGTGTGTGTGTGTGTGTGTGTGTGTGTGTGTGTGTGTATTTATGTATGTGTGTATCTGTGTGTGTGTGTGTGCCTGCTCTGTCTTCTCCATCCCCAGTGAGTCGTGGAGGATGGCTGCTTATACTGAGCCAGGATTCTCTGGAGGTTTCTTCCTGTTAAAAGGGAGTTTTCCTCTCCACTGTCACTTTATGCTTGCTTAGTATGAGGATTGCTGTAAAGTCACTGACACTAGTCAGTGACTTGATGCAATTTGCTGGGTTCCTTATATAGGAAACATTATTTCTGATTGGCTTAATGAACTGACCTGAATTGGAATGTTTATTATGTGAAGTGCCTTGAGGTGACTCTTGTCGTGATTTGGCGCTGTATAAATAAAATTGAATTGAATTGAATACAGCAGCTTCACGTCCATCAGCAGCGTTTGTTCACAACCGTTTTCAGGTAAAGTAACTTTGTTTATTCTAGAAGCTTTCAGGACTTACATGTTAACTTTAGATGGCTTCATGTATGTTTTAAGCTACAGAATGAACTTGTTAAACATACACAACACATTACTACAGAGTATTATCATGTAGGTAATTATTATAAACCAAATGCATTATAAATGTTGAATGCAGTAGGATGTTTTCTAATGTAAATTGAACCTTAGAACTTATTTTGCATCAAATGGGGGTAAAACGTTTTTAAAAACAGGCTTTTTAATAAAATAGCATTGAAGTGTTTTCAATGTGCATTTGTTTATTCAACTTAAGCCTAATAATGATTAGATCTGTCTTTAAAATGTAAATTCTCTGTAGTTTTCCCTGCTGCTTTTCTTTAAACTGAACAGAACCAGTGTACTGCAGGTTATATGTTTGTTTTACATTTTTCTATAAAAAAAACTCTTTTTTTAATCTATTACAAGTCAGCATACACTGTGCTGCACATCTGCCTCTGTGCTGGTGAAGTTGTGGGTCTGCAGGATGAGCGTGAGGAAGATGTGTGTGGAGGAGGTCAGTGGTGCTCTGTCCTGGAGGAGGTACCAGCAAACCACCACTACTGTTAACAGGCAAGTCATTCACAGAGACGTAACAGCCGTCGTCTGAACCAGCCCAGCAGGCCCTGTAGATGGACGATGGAGTGGACAGTGAGAGGAAGCGTCCCAAAGCTCTCTGCAGACCGTCCTGTATGATGTTCCTCTGAACAGAAACGTCCAGCCACGGGTCTGCTCCAGCCCTCCATCCACGTCTGGATCCTCCTGCAGCAGATCCAGCTGCACTGTTAAAGACTTCCTGCTCACTCAGTTTAAATAAATGATCCAGGAAGAGTCACTCAGGTTAATCCTGCTTTAACCGTACATAACTGGTCCATACTGGTTCTGATCTGTAAATAAGTGTAACCTATTATAAATAATCTTGTCTCCTTACCATCTTTTCATTTTCTGTTCATGTAACATGTTCAAAAACATATGTAATAATAAAACTGGTGATAGTTATCAGTTAGTATTTGTTTTAATAAACGTGTTCAAACATCAAACAGCTAAATAACATTAACATGATGACAGTAGAAGGCCTCTCTCCCAGGAGGACCACCAGGTAAAGCCTCTCCTGACCCTGAACACCTGCAGTCCTACAGAGAAAATGATATGGAGTTGTCTGCATGCTCCTGATGCCCAGCAACCTATAAACCTGCTGCAACAAGGTTGACAAAATTAGTCCCTTGGTCAGTAGGAATTTCTTGTGGAAACCCAACTCTTGAGAATAGTTGAATCAATGAGAAAGCCACAGCCTTTGCTTTGATGTTTTTTCTAATGGAAAAACTTCTGGATATCTTGTAGCATAGTCAGTGATGACCAGCATATAACGGTTTCCTGCTTTGCTCTTTTCCACAGGACCAACAACATCCATTCCAAGGCGTTCAAACGGTGTACCAATTATTGTGAGTGGCTGCAGTGGTGCTCTAATGGGAACTTTAGCTGAAGTGATTTGACACTGAGGGCAGCTTCTACAAAACCGGGCAAAATCTGAACATAAACCAGACCACAGGAAATTGCGTTTAATACGTTGAGTGGTCTTATGTTTCCCCAGGTGGCCAGCCCAGGGAATTGAGTGGCCCAACCTTAGGACGGTCTCCCGGGCTGCTTTAGGGACCACCAATCATTTCATTTGGCCATGGTGATGGTACAAAATGCCATGTTGAAGGATGTATCGACCTCTCTTAGTGTCGTATTCTGCCTCAGTTTCACCTTTAGCCTTCAGCAAAAGAGCAGACAGGGTCAAATCATCTTGTTGCATTTGTCTGATATCATTAGGAATCGTAAACCCCAAGGGCAGATCTGGAGCTTCTTCATTTTGACCTCTTTGCACATTATATTCCAACTTCTCATGCCTTTTCTGACTACATGCTTTAAGAGTCTTCCCAGGTTGTCCTTCCACGTCAGAATCAAAGAAAGGCAAAGAACTGAGAGTTGTAAATTGGTCACTTTGTGTTTTTGCTTGAGCCCTTGTCACAGCTGCATTACAGCTTTCCACTTCCTTCAACAGATCATAGATGACAGGCAGATCCTCCCCCAAAATCACAGGGTAAGGTAGATTGTCTGCCACACCAACCTTTAGCAAATATGTAGCCCCTTGTACCCCAATACACAAATCAGCTGTGGGGTAAGATTTCTCATCCCCATGCACACAACAAACTGTTATTGGTTCAGACATGCCCCAGTCACTGAATGGTATGCAGTTCCTATTAACCAGAGTGCTTCCTGTATCCAATAAAGCTTCTATTTTCTGCCCATTTATTGTCACAGTGGTCATTTTCTTGGAATTATGTTTTTCAGGTTCTCTTTTCACCATCTGCTGTGGCAAAAAACACAACTGGTTTAATCGACTTGGGTTTTGGGGGCACACAGGCTTGGTGTGGCCTTCCTGTCCACACAGATAGCATACAGGTATCCTTTTATTGAACTTTGAGGCACTTTGAGGTCGATTTTCCCTTGTGGGGACCTTACCCAGACCCGATGCTGCCCTCTGGTGTTGAAGAGGTTGTGGACGCCGCATGTCTCGAGCTGTTCTCCATGCTGTGTTACTCCATGGCTGACTCTTGCTTCGGGCTGCCACAAACACATCTGCCAGGGCAGCAGCTTCCGCCGCAGATCTTGGTTTATGCTCTTTGATCCAGACCTGAAGCTCAGGACACAACATTCTTAAAAATTGCTCCAAGATTAAGAGCTCACCAATCTCCTTCACTGTTTTAGCTTTAGGCTGAGTCCATTTTTCATACAGCTCCTTTACTCTTGCATACAGTTCTTTAGGGCTTTCATCCATGACATCAAGACAACGGAACCTTAGTCTATATGTTTCTGGGTTTATGTCATATTTTTGAAGAATGGCAGTCTTTACCTTTTGGTAATCCAGTGCATCATCAATGTCCATATTAACATAGGCCCCTCGAGCCTTACCAGTCAACAGGGGAATCAGATGAAAAGTCCAGTCTGAGCTTCGCCAACGGTAGGCAACTGCAATTCTCTCAAAGGTTGTGAGGAAATGTTCAATGACATCTTCTGCAGTCAATTTTTCCATTTTGAAATGGGGTGTTTGCAAAGACTGACCTGTGGAGGATGCGGCTGAAGTCGAAGTTGAGCATTCAGGTTCAGAAGATACCTGGTTGTAATCATCACTGGAAAGTCCCACCTGTTCTGAATCATCTCTCCCCAGCTCAGGTGTTGCTCGGGCCTGCATTCCCATCTGCAAAAGATGAAATTGGTGCTGCAAAGCCTTAAAACGCTGCTCCTGTTGTTCAGACTCCTCCTCCCTCTTCTTATCTCTCATATCTTGTTGTCCCATAAAGGTTTGAAGAATACTTGTCAAATCCTTCAATGTTGGTTCCCTAATTTCCTCATCCTCGGTGTCCCCCAGGTCGACTGCAGCTCCATCCTCCATCTCCCCAACATCAAACTGTTGCACCGTCTCCTTGATTTCCCCTTTGTTGCCTTTCCTCGTCCGTACTCCAGCCTGCATGGCAAAAACTATGCTGTGTCCTCCAGATCCCACTTCTGACTCCAAATGTGAGGGATCAAGCCGAATGAGTGGAGGTAGTGATGTTACCTGTGACACGCAGGATTCGAAGCTTGTATCGCCAAAACGAACCACCGCAGAGCAAAGCACTGTGTCGGAGCTTGATTTGTTTACTGAAAGTCACGTGACCATTGAGTAACGATGCTTCGGTTCACCCTTCCACCCACGTGACCGCTTCACACGTTGTTTCAAACATTTAAAGCAACGCAAACCGAGAGGCGCAGGTTTATGGCAAGCCAAATGAGCATTTATTCTGATATCAGGATGTCAGCCAGAATTGTCATGAACATGTAAGCCATTTCTGTCCACTAGTTAACTAGTCAGCCATGTTTGTGTCAAGTAAGGCCTAAATTCTCTCTAGTTGACTAGTTAAAATGTTTCATATCTTACTACTTAACTAGTATCACTCAGTGTGTTCACTAGTTAACTAGTGAGCATTTATGTCTAGTTAACTAGTGTGCACATTTTGACCCTCACAACTAGTGAGACAAATACCTTCAAGTAGCTGACTGGTATGCATTTCTGCTTTTACTAGTTAACTAGTGAGCAGTTTTTGTGTCAACTAGTTAACTACTGAAGCCTAAATGTGTTCACTAGTTAACTAGTGCGCATTTCTGCTGTCACTAGTTAACTAGTGGGCACATTTTCACCCTCGATATTTAACTAGTTGAAACAAACATGGCTAACTAGTTAACTAGTGGACAGAAATGGCTTACATGTTCATGACAATTCTGGCTGATATCCTGATATCAGAATAAATGCTCATTTGGCTTGCTAAAGATGCCATACAGGTTTGTATGACCTGAGATTGACCGTTCAGGATTCAGTGATTAAACACCGAGTCGCAAAAATGGATCCTGTAGCAAAAAGAGGGCGTTCTGAGATGTGGGATTGTTTAAATTTAATCTCTCCAAATAAGGTTTGAAAATGTATTTGGTCTAGTCTAGTAAATTACCTTTATAGTAGTAATACTTGGTGCATATTGTAGGGCTATATCTTTTAGACCGTCTGTCATTTTCCTTTAATTAAATTAAAATCTAGTTTGGTATGATTTTTCTTCTTTTATTGGTAATTAATATATTAGTTGATGAGCTTTTCAGTTTGGTTGTACGTGTAATGGAATTTAGTATGTCCTATCCTTATGTGAATTTTCTAATCTTCATTTTGTTACTCTATTTCTAAAAAAGATACAAAAATTGAGCTAATTATTCCTGCCTAATAATCCAATAGAAATGTGAAAAGTAAAATATTTGAATATGTAGAGAATGTTAATATGTGTAAATTAGATATATTTCATCACGTATCCTATAAAAATAAACATTGTTTCAAGTATTCACACCAAGAAAAGCAATTTTAGTATATTTAATGTAATGTTCAAATTCAAGATACTTTTATTATATGATCCTGAGGAAGCTTTTTAATGATTTATTTGTCCATAAAGTTCAATACACCATTCATTTTCAGTAGAATTGGCTGACAATACAATGAAATACAAACATTTACCAGCAGATGTCCTCACAGTTTTGAAGCATCGAACCTTGAACCTTTTTTCAATACAATTGGATTGTAAAGCTTTGTTGGTTCAAAAGGCTTCACATCATCATCACTAAGTGGAGGAACACAGGCAATTTCCAAAAATAGACTCTTTAATTTCCTTTTTGTTTTAAAATGTCCTCACAAAAATACCTCGAGCTCATAAAAGAGGTCAAACAAACAAACAAACTGAAACTCAATAAGCTTCTAACTTAACATACTGACTGACTGAAACCATAACCGACCTAACAAACAAAGACACACAAGGGTATATATACACACTGGCTGATCAGACCATATGAACAATAGGGATTACTAGACAAACATTTACTAACTAAAACCAAAACCACAAATCAGTACAGTCAGATTGTTAATAAACCTAAACATCTTAACCCATAAACCTAACTATTTAACTTCAAACTTAAATTAATTAACAAATGACAAAATAATAAACTAAAGGAAATTCTTCAGTTCCCTCTTCAGGGAGCTATTGGTTTGGTCCCATCAGCTCCTCCTGTATTTAGCTGACAGAACCCCTTCAACCCTGTTTGTCTGTCCAATCTCAGGAAGCAGGAAGTGGAGAACCTCAGCACCGGTAAGAGAAAACAAATCAACTTAAATTGAACAAATGAAAGGCATAAAATACAGCAGTTAACTAAATGTGCGCGCTTACAATTAGAACTAATGTATTTAAGTAGTGATGGGTAGATGAAGCCTCATGAAGCGTTTCAGCACATTCCCCAAATAGTATTGATACTGTGTCGACACAGTGCTGCTGTTTTGCTCTATAATGACACCTACTGGACTTTATATATCATTGCAGGCAACATACTGGAGACACAACAGACACTGATTCAATGACCTAATCATACTTGTATACACTGTAAGCTATTGTAGGCCTACTTCATATGGTATTACTTTAAACTTCTAAATTTAAAATATATACACCTCAAAATATTCTGTGAATGATACCAAGTGACAATTAAAGTGACAGTGCTGTGAATGTGATATTACCCATTTCAGTGTCATTGACTCAAAAGTTTTTTTTATTTTTATAAATTTTTATTAAGAAAAATATGTTTATCCAATGTGTTGGCATTTAGTCTATTACGCTTTTTGGACACTATTTTACCAGCTCTCGAAAACACACTTTCACAGGGCACAGAAGACGCTGGGGTACACAAAAACTGTAAAGCCAGGTGGAAAAGGTGTGGGTAGGATGTCTTCCGGTTCCCCCATTATGTTAATGGATTTTCTTGTCTTGAAATGTTTCCCTCTGCTAAGTAGCGCTGGACCTCAATGATCGAGTCAGCTGTTGCATTGGTGGTTTGTCTGCCAACCTCTTGATCAAGCTGCTGCCACAGATTATCTGAAATAATAAAAAATACATAGAAGTTTTAGTTTTTGTTAGCAACAAAACAAATGTGAAAATAAACTGATAATACTGAACAACTTGCCTGAAGTGGGTAACTGCTCTGATGAAGGTCCAGGCTGTGGCTGCAGCACACTCCATTTTCAGCCGACTGATAGCCTCACTACACTTGGAGGAACTACGAAATCCGAGTGTTTTAAATCTGGGGTCTGAAAGTGTTGATAGGGTCAACACACTTAATGACTCCAGATTGGAAGCAGTGTCTGTGACGCGACGTCTAAGCTGGTCATGGAGATGTGTGGCTGCTTGTGTGTGTAGATGTAAAGAGTTCCGCTCAAGTGCACAATTTAGCATTTTCATCATCGGGATGACCTTTGATCCTGAAACTCTCCTCTCCTCTCCTCAGACAACTCCACTGTGGCCTGATGGAAAGGGGCCAGCACAAGAAGTGCTTCCCTTAAGATGTTGAACTCATCAGCTGTGAGTGGAGTTAAATCTGTTTGGAGAGAGGCAAGAGATACCCACACTGCTTCTTTCTCATCATGTAGCCATGACAGCATCTGATATGTGCTGTTCCAACGTGTTGGTACCTCAGTGACAAGTTTCAAGGTGGGCCGTCATATCTGTTGCTGCACTTGAGCTAGCTTCTCTTTTGCTGTGGTGCTGGATCTGAAGAATGATACAATTTGCCTAGATTTGTGTCTTATGGATGAAAGTTCAGGGATCTGATCACAGTATTTTTTGACTATTAAATTTAGTTTGTGTGCAATGCAGATTGAATGTCGAATTTGAAGAGTTCGTGTTGCTGCTTTCATGTTTGGTGCTGTGTCGGTCACAAGACACCTTACCTTATTTGTTATGGCCCAGTCATCCATCATGCCCCTTTTGACTTGGGCCAGATTGTCAGCAGTTTGACTTTGTGGAAAGTGTTTGACTCCAAACACAGATGTACACAACTGCATATTATCACTGATGTAGTGACAGGTAAGAGCTAAGTAAGCCTCCATGTTCAAGGAGGTCCACATGTCAGCTGTTATACTCACTGCCACAGCTTGCTGTACTTCCCTTTTTACTCTTTCGAGTTCCTCCGCATGCTTTTTGGCCATCATTTCCTTAACCGTCTGAAAATGAATCAAAATCAAATTAGTCTAGTACTTAACACATTTATTAGACCACCTGTCATTAAAGCAAGAAAAACATCCAGCTCTGAAGTTCTCTGTGTTTTGCCCTGTTGAATAGAAGGTAGGAATTTAAAACTGAATCCAGTTTTATACCCAAATGTGAGCTGACACACCGGACGGAAATTATTCAAGCATGCATGATATTTGAATCACAAGTGTTTATTTTTGTTTGCTGTGTCATAAACCTTAAATCAGACGATGGTCTAATACATTTGTTAAGCACTGTATATATTACATGAGTACAAGGGCGTCAGTTTGTTTTCAGAATTGCTGGGGACAATAACCATACACTTGAGTGGGGTTTAAAAATTGCTGGGGACAATAAAGTAGACTAGCACAGGGGTCGGCAATCCGCGGATCTGGAGCAGCATGCGGCTCCTCCATCCATCTGATGCGGCTCTCTGTACTTTTAAAATAATGACTGGATATTTAAATAAAATGCTTTATATTTTACTGCATTAATTTTACATCTGTATGCCAATTCTAAATGTAAAGATTGTCTGCGTAAACCTGAACAGGTCCAACCCGGTCTTACTGTGAGACCGGGTTGACGCGTCACGCTTGTGCGTAATCATATGCGCTTCCTGAGCTGAAGGATGTCAGATTCTGGGCTTCTCCTCAGACAGCTCCTGGATGCGTCGCCACATTGGAGACAGGAACAAGCGCTATTCAGCCAAAGTTTCATAATCAGGGAACATTTTCTAAGTGACAAGTCTCTCTGAGTGACCGGGTTTGGAAAACACTCGCTTCAGTGGGAGCAGTGGCGGTTCTACATCGAATTACTCCCCGGGCGAGGCCCCCTTTGAGCGCCCCGCCCAACCGCCCCCCCCCACCACCACCACCACCACCACCACACCACCCCACCTGCATGAACACACACATGTTTTCTACAAACAGGCATGTTTTATTAGAACGACTATTGAACATTCATTTTTCTAAGTTGCACATATTTACATTAATTACTATGAAGTTGTCAGAATGTAAAGCAATATACATTATATACTGTATCAAAATATATAGAATCAAATATACA